GTAGTATTTAGATACCTGCAATATGTAACTTTGAAATTGAGATAAGTGTAAAGTAAAGCTGTCGAGATTTAAAGTGCTTGTCGTTGTATCTTTGTAAAAAAAAGGGAGATAATGGCCAAGTGCCATTTTTGTAAATATCTGTCGAGATTCAAAAAGCTTGTCCTTGTATGATTGCAGTATGATTTATTCAGAATCTTCTATTTTTGTATGGGGAGGGAGATGGAGTGAAATATTACATTTGCTCCGAAGCAAATGTTGGCCTTTCTAGTTTAAATTTTATTTACTTATTTATTGTGTTCCCGTGACCACCCACCCCCTCAACTGGGCCTCTGGGAAGAGCGGCTAAGGCCGACAGGGCATTTCCAGTATAAATAAAGGGTATTGATTGATTGATTAAGTTTGTTGAAGTTAGTTTGACTGCGGATGGTCAGAGAGCCGCTGTACATTAGTGGTGAGAGTCTCGCCTGTCGCCTATGGACATCCTGAAAAAAATCAGCAGGGATAAAATGTGGGTTGAATTAACTAGAAGATTGTTTGTAAGGCCACAACGACTCAATTGTATAGATGACATCCTCGGAAGACCCACAAACTTATGCGCGGGCGAAAAAAAATTGCTATTAAACCACAGGAATACAAAGCTGATATTGTGAATTTGCGTTAGTAGATAGCGACGTATACGACAAGCCGGCACATGCTGGCTTTTTGCGGAATTTATGAATCGGCATTGTACGTATGTACTGAGTTCTTGAGTCGTGGAGCTTCGGTAGCCTGGGTGCCGTCCTCCAGAGTTACCACTGGCTCCGTAATGTCACTATCTACCATGGACTACCCAGTCCAAAGCCTCGGAGGACGTGATCTTTTTTTTTTAGAACAGGCGAAAATCAATGCGTGCGCGGATGTCATCCATAAAATTAAATCGATGTGGCCCAATAAGAGAAAGGATGGTTCGCTGCCCTATTCTGATGGGAACTTATGCTATACCATGTTTACTGAATGGAAGGGTTTTCATGAAATAGTACGGATACAAAATAAGTACCTGGAGCAGTCTGGCATATGAAGTTCATCTGTAGCCCATAGCAATGTGCGTCGTTCCACACTTGGTCCTCCCAGGTTGCTGCGCAATCTTCATCCCCGTTATGGTCGTTCGGTTCTCCCGGAGCCCAGGAGCTGTACGACCCACTCAAACTTTCCCTCCTCGCGCCGATCGTGCAGGCCGATCCAGAAACCGTGACTCTTGGACTTCTCCAGGGAGGCCAGGAAGGTGTTGGTGTCAGCGTCTCGGGCCATGGCGAGGGTGCCGCCGTCTACACGACAAGTCGCGGCTGCATCGTCGAAGTTCTTGAGTGTGTAGAAGGCCTTGTAGCAGATTCCACGCCAGATTGTGTAACCTTCAGGACAAGATGCTGGAAAACATGTTTTGTATCAGCAACAGGCAAATGATGGGTCATATTGAAAATCATTAAATCTACTCTCGGAGCTTTATTCAATAATGAATATTTAGTATGACACAGTATTAATTATATAATAAAGCCCCCCCCCACACACACACACACACACATGTAATGTAATTATGTTCCGCATGATCTGTTTTTAAACAAATGACGTTTTCAAATAGACCAACATGAAGAGCAAACAGAACAGCTGAAAACTCAATTCTAATTACTTAAAGTCTTCTCAATCTCGTGAAGACGCTG